GAAAAGCTTTGAAAAGTTACTTAAATGAGCATTTTAGGAGCTGCAATGCAAGTACTGTAATATATTAGCATAATGAATTGTGAGAACTAACAATCAAGCCTTGGGCAAAAACTTCATTGCTTTATATTTGCCCAGTCAGCTTTGAATTTCCTTAGGAATGCTTAGACAATGGCAGTGAAAGCAGCCTATTTTGCAGGCAAAGCAGCTCTCTGTTACTACATTCAGCAATTTACATAATAATAAAATAACACTCAAACCCTCCCACTGACAAGCTTTGAGTATTTTTGTTACAGATATCCGGTCTGACCTTTTAATATATTTAAAAAGTTTCATACACACCCCCATACATTTATTAAACTAAAGACATATCAAGTGCTTTTGAAATTTAAGGTATAATTACCGCAGGGAACTACACGCAGAAATCTCTCAATTTACTTTTGAATAGCACATGCAGATGAAGAAAAAAACGTGGAATTAAAGGTTGTATTAGGTAAACTGTAATATCCCAAACTGCACTGAAACTCTGATTTATTTTGCTATTTTGACTCCAAACCCAGCGATCACTAAACTTACTGCCTGTCAGGCTGGCCCCTCTGACTTTCTTACATATGTAAATTTGATCGAGAAATAAAAATCCCCAACAAATTGGCAGATGGACTACTCAAATCTTTTCACTCAGAAAGGTTAAACTGTCTAAGAAATAGCTTTTTGGACTGTAAAACAATACCTTTTTAAGCTAATATGAACCTCATGACTACTACTTTCTTTTGTAAATGTCAGATCTTGAATCAATAACAGCACTTGAAACTTTCAGAAGACCCTAATGGGGTTCATGCATTTTTGACAGCCAACGTCCTTATTCTTAAAAATATCTTATGCTAGATATCTATACTGGGAGATTAAATTCCACTTTTAAGCTTCCAACAAGGGGAAAAACAAAACCCAAATCTTAGTGATAGAAAAGCAAAAGTTTTTTTCTGCTTGGGCAAAATCATGAAACAGAACAGCCATAGTTGCTTAACTACTTTATAAAACCACTTCCTCTCTTTTTAAGACTCATTTCTATGGTGACTTACACAAGAAATCAGGTATTAAATAAACAAAACTCAAGGACACTCAGAGACATCTTTTACAATTGAACTTAAAGGCATTTGAATAAAAGAGAATATTTAAGAGTTGTGCTTACTTCACTGTATCACTCTACCACTCAGTAAGTGTTTCTCCTGAGTTTAGTTGGAAGTCTTGGAACAGAAAGAACCTGACCCTATGTGACCTCTGTACAGCAGAACTCCAATATGAGAAAAGACTCACAAGTGTTCCAGTTTTGAGACTCCCTTTGCCACGTGAATAGGTTACAAAAGCCCGTCCAAAAAAGGGGCTTTTATATTATTAGGCCAAGTTACTGTTTTATAACTCTGAAAGCTAAACAGCTCGCTGATGGTCAAATTATAACTACTGCACCTTATCATAAAAAGCACTTTGTATTATTTTACAAAACTTTAAAAATTTTCTATTCTATTTCCCTCCCCAAAGTTATGCACAGTTGTTAAAACTGAAGATACAGTCCAAGCAAGGTTTTCAAATCGTGTTGAAATACCTTCCTAATTTTTCCTGAGACACACAATTTGCTTATAAACATACCATTATGTATGTGCTATTTTATAGTTCTCAAATGGTTTTGAAACTGTTTGCACAACTGCCTTGCTAACAGAGATTATACAAAATTATGAGGGCAAGTTTAGCACTACATGTATAGCTACACATAAGAAGGTATAGTGGCAGAATTAATAAGGTGTATATTGTGCACTTTTTCCCCTCAATTAATCTGTACTCTTGCCATAAATTACTGAGTATTTAAAATCTTTAAATAACTCAATGATTTTTGTCTGTCATCCTTCTGGACTTAATACATAATAATAGTTTTTTATTTTGCCCACTATAACATAGTGAACTTACAGTATCAAGAATACTCGGCATAACAGCAAAAAAGCCTGATAGTGCCATCTTAAAAAAGTAAAGATACACTCTATTGCAATATACAAAACGTACTAGGAACCTCAGAATGCTGGGATGCTAAAAAGGTATTTTGGTTATGTAGTTTGTAAAGCTCATGCGTAATTTTGTGCCTTGACAAAAAGCAAAATTCTCAAACTCAGGGGAATTAAAAACTTTTATTGCAAAACAACATACCTCAGTTCCACCAAAAAAATAACTTTTACTTCCACATCCAGGCACTGATGGTCACATTACAGCAAACCCACACTTTGGGTGGGCGGGGGAGGTACTGTAATCCGGCACCAGGAACATGTCAGATATAGGTCTTTACTTCTGTATCATTTAACTTTCAGGAGGATCTATACTAATACTCCCTAAACAACTGCCACCTTTTTATTAGATTTTCTGTCTCTCCCTGACCCAAACATTTAACACTAAATTCTTAATGGCAAAGATTTCTGATTTCTCTTCAGAAGCCCTGCATGCTACCATGTAATAATGACCAGCTGAACTTACGGTGATGATTCCAGTATGATGCTATTAGCTTGGGTGGAAGATGGAGATCTGTGATTGACAAATACGTCACTTGGGGAAGTGTGAACTACATGGTCCACTAAATGTCCGACTGATGAGGGTCGTAACCGAGCTCCTTCTTGAGTAAAGGCAGAGTTGCGACTAAGCAGGAAAGCACAGCAGCACAACATGAAAAAAATATTGTTATTAATCTATGTTTCTTACACCACTACAAAGGAATGCTAAAAGAATTATCCCCTCTCAGTGCAAGGCATATGTTCGTATACCTGTTTTTATTAAATAATTTAAGGTTTTGAAATCACTGAAACAATTATGTTGTCAGATCAGCATATTTCATAATTTTCTTTTTAAAAGTGTTCAAATGTTATTTTCATAAACACTAAATGGCTAATTTATTTATTTATTTTTATTTAAAAAGCCTGAAAGCATTATGGTCCAACGAACAGGCTACTAGACTGACAGTCCGGTCAATGAGAAGAAAAATTAATCCCCAAGAAGAAAAATCCTGGCTCTGTTCATGGCAGAACTTAACCTGAATTCATTAAGATGAACGTTTTATCCCCTGTATCTTCTCCTAGAAGGATCATAAGCTTTGCACTGAGATTCTTATCAATTCTGTGACCCAAATTTTTCCCATTTGAAAACTAGCATAGTGACATTGGCATCTTTCTTAAAATGCTCTGAAACACGTGTGATTAAGCTATGTTATGCTAAAAGCATCATTATTACACAATTTTTACAATAATTTTAAATGCTACAGATATTTGCAACAACAGCCTTTAGAATAATATCCTGCAATGCCACAGAACCTTAAGACCTTCTGGTTAATGCAACACAAAACTGGATAATGTCAATTCTTAAGCCAGTTGCAGTAAACTGACAAAACTGGTTATTTTCCAAAAGAAATCAGGAATGATTTTGCACTAACTGTAAACAGACAACAGAAAGCTCTATCATGTCAAAAGAGTGAGCTTTGAAAGGAAATGCAGAAAAACTGAGGGGAACAAACCTGAAAGGATTTCTGAATAAGTAATTTTCCCCCAGTGTTTTAAGAAGTGGTATTTAAGTATTATTAACCAGAATCAATTATTTCTAAAATATCACATGGATTTTATTATCAGGTTTTTTTTCTTAGCCAAATTAATAATTTACTTTTAACCGTGCTTGAGAAAACTCAAGCTCTCAAATTTAGGGTAGCATGCTATATCTGACACTTTTTATAGGTTGAGTGAGAAGCACCTAAACTTCACCTCCAAACAGTTTCTCTTATCTGGAGCCAAATGTTCCAGAGAAGCACTCAACACAATCTGTGAAATTATTTGTCTCCATAATGCATTAATCCTTTTATTACAGAAGTAGGTCATTCCCATTAAAGGTACAGTCACTTCCAGGGAGAGAAGATTCGATGCTACTTACTGATTCGGGGTTCCAGGTGGAGACCGTGATGGTAGACTCTGTGTTTCCAACCTATCATCAGACAGTGAATTCCTACTCACTACTTCCCAGTCCATCCCACTCATTAATTTCCGTGCCAAGGGTTTACTGGGGGATCTGGAAGAAGAAAGTAAAATGACTAACCAAAAATTATATGAGGTAAGAACAAAATTACATAAAATTCACCACAAGAAAACTGTGGATGTTCTATCACAGGAAACTAAATTATACAGATGAAAGGAAATATAATAATGCAAAACTATATTTAAATGAGCAGCTCTGTATTTTCTCATTATATTGTACTTCATTTTCTGCACTTTGTAGAACATCAATGATATATAGTCATAAAATACTGTTGGCTGGGAAGGAGACCGGCAAGATGGAAGAGGAACCCACTAAACTTCACTGGGCCTTTCTAATGCCTCAAAGGGAATCTGTCTCCAATAGAATGGTCAGAAAGGTCTGAACTTAACAATGAAAAAAAAAAAAAACCACAAACAAACAACACACACACAAACAATGAAAAAAACAAACAACAAAACAAAACACACACAAAAAAACCCCAAATCCAAAAAAAACCAACAAAAAAACCCACAACCCAAAACAAAAAAACTCCCCCAAAACCTGTAACACAACTACTCAGCTACTGCAAGAAAAATGAACCAGTGGAAACACCAGCCCAAAAAAAACTCCCCAAGACTTTGGAGAACCGAAAGTGGGGTAACCATCAACATGGCCACAGAGCTGCTGGGTTTTGTTTACCGATCAGGGATTTCCATCAAGGTGACATGCTTTCTTCCAGAATACATTTTGCCATCTGTAAGGCAGAAGCATTCATCCTATTTAAACGTCTTCGTGGAGAACCAAACTTCACTTGGTTTTAACGCCAGAAACGTCCTTCAGGTTAAAGGTCATTACTACCAGTGTTTTTGTACAAAAGGAACTGTATTTTCTACTGGTTGCCCTTTCGTGATATTAAGGAAACTTTTTCTTATCACTGTCCAGTCTTTGCAGGATACCTACCAATCCCTTTCTGCTGTTTCTTTCACCTATTTCTTAAGCACAAACGTGACCATACTTGCAATCTCTCATGAAATACTGTATTTCCTTTTTATACTGGAAATCATCAAATGAATCATCTAAGAGTTGTGGTTGTTTTTTTCTTAGCGTGACATGCTTCTTAGATGGTTCGGTTATCCTGTGACTAAACACACCCAGACTTTTGCTGTTTGTTTTCAACTGAAAATTCTTCAGCCAAAAGCGAAAATTCTTTTAAACAATCCTTAAGTGTCCTGCATATTTTGCATTACCGGGTTTTTACTTTACTTCTACTACTTGCATGGTGATATATAGTTCAAATTTCTCCTCTGTCATTACCCAATCCTCTTGTGTTCCAGTGATACCTCAATTTCATGTCTCTCTTGTGCCATGATCATTTCATTCCCATTTGCCTTTATATTCTATCACTATACTCTTTTCTACTCTCCAGCTTTGCACAACGAGGTGACAACATATTTTTGTATCAGCATAACTCCGGCATGTCTTTCACCAGCTCCATACGCCCATATCACAAAATAACTTCTGCCTTTGCTGTCCTTGGGACACACAGTAACTGTTCTTTATCTTCATCGTTATCACCTTACTGATTTACTGAAAGTGCAAGTCCATAAAAACTTTGAGAAATAAAGGAACTACCCGCATACAAATTACCTCCCTGAGTTACAAACACATTTTTGTTTCTCACGGAACTTAAAACTCAATGCAAGTCACCACCTTAAGACCACCTCGATATCATCAAAAAAGGCTACAGCAATAACCAAGCAAGCATCATATTGAATAATCTATCTTCACTTGCAGAAACACATAAGTCCTGTTGATGTCAACAGTGTTTGTTTGATACTAAAGGAGTGGTGATCTGTGTGTGAAGGGTTTATTTTTGGTTTTACATCCCCAAGTAGTTCTGAACATGTATTGTGTGCTAGTTGCTGCTCTAAAGACTTACTGAATAACAGCTGAAAAATTTCAGACAGTTAAGCAGGACGGGCTATTCTAAATACTACTGTTTCAGGTCTTATTCCACCTGGGAAAAAAAAAAAATCTAATAGCATATTGATACTTGAAATCAGGGAAAATACCAACTATTTAATTCCTGAGGAAAAAACACTTGCAGATTCTTAGAAAGTGAAATTCTTCACTATATTTAAGCAGTATTAATTTGATTTAAAAAGTAATTAGCTTGATATAATATCAATTAAATAAATATTTCAATTTCTGTAATTTGCTTCACATGTGAGCAACTCAAGCCACTCAGATGTTTTTCTTCACACACATAGTAAATTAGAGCAGTTCTGAACAGGTAAAATTACAAGAAACCAGCAGAACTTAAACACATGCCCAACATTATCCGTTCACTATCACTTTATTAATCAAAGCCATCATTAGCTAGGTGTTGCTGACAGCACGCTTACAGCCAGCAGATTAGCACCAAGAGCCAACTCTGCCAAGAGAGGGATTCTACTAGCCAGAGAACGGGCTGAGAAAAAAAACTGCACAGGAACATAATAATACATCCAGTGCTAAACTGGTTAAATACAGGACTGCAGACATAGTATTTTCTGACAGATATATAAAGGCAGCTGTTGAACCTTACTTACCTTCAGTGAAAAAGCAACAAGTGGAATATAGGAAAGTTGGTACTGTTTGGGGTTTTTTTTGTTTTTGTTTTGTTTTTGTTTTGTTTTGTTTTGCCTTTTTCTTTTCCTTCAAATGCGCAACAACAGTGAAAAGACACTATCTTTGCCTGTATAAAACTAATTAAATCACAAGGAGAGACACAAAAGTATACAGGCAGAGGATAAAAACCAATCCAAGTTTTTCCAAAAACTAAATTCTTGATTGCTTCAAAAAAGAGCCACTGCATTATATCTTAAGTCATAGCTTCTAACTATATTTTTGAGAGCTTCCTCAATCTATGCCACTAATGAACATAACTCTAAAATGAGAAGCATCGCTTTCTTACCTATCAAAAAGTGTTAAGAAAACTCACCTTTTACTGTGCATAGGGTCTCGTCTTTCAGAAACAATACCTTACTACCACGATAAACAGCTGCAGCGTTTATCAGCAAAGGTTCGTTTCAATTATTTTATTAACAGCTCTAACCTCACAGTCCCACCCACTCATGTTTGTTGCCTCCATTTCCTGTCTTTGCAGAAATTTCAAAGAAAAAATTACCACACTGCAGCACCGAACTTCTCAGTGCTGTGGCTTTTGATACTAGTTCTCCTTCCAACACTTCTAAATCTAACAATAAGCGATTTTTCACTAGCTTTTAAGATATGTTGTGAAATATTCCTGTGAATTTCTCCTGTATCTCCAATTCCTTACAATATTCAAACAACTTTCTCATGCCTGAGTGCAGCTGAGGAGATGGGAAGCGGGGAGTAAGCTGTAAAAAACTTTTGAAATGCTTTGACAAACTTTAAAATTCTAAATTCCACATTTGTCTGCTTAGTCTGGATGCTGTTATTGCACCCCAGCACCCAGCACTGCTAGTTAACAGAGTAAACAATTTTCAGATTTCATTTTTGGTGTATCTGCAGAGACATTCTTAAAAAATTTTGAATAACTCCTATCTATCAGAGCAGGGAGAGAGAGACCAAAAACTTTTCCTACCCCCAAAATCAAGAACAGTCTTACAAGCTGCGATATTACGTCAAATAAAATAAAAAAAAAACCACACAAAAAAAACCCTAGTAGCAGGGATGATATTCCATAACACAACCACAAAAAAGCTCAGCTACAGTACACAAAAGCTTTTTAAGACAGAATTTGTTGTGTGTCCCACAGCCGAAGTGCTAAATTCTCACAGAAGCTGGGAAAGAAAGAGGGTATTGTTTGGGAACACAGGTGGCAATCTTTTCAATAATTTCTGTCCCCAAAACAACTGTAACCTGGAGCTACAGCCTTGCTTTGTATTTTGACAAGGAGCACAGGGAATGCCTTTCTCAGCAGAACTGGTGACTACTGCTTCAGACTATATGCAAATCTGCAGATACACTACAAATGACCTATGCAGTTTAAAGCAGCTAAGGAATTATTTAATTAACCTGAATAAACGCACGGTTGAAACAAGATTGGATTTTTGGAAACAGAGATTGCAACTTCATGTTAAGGAGTTTGCAAATCCAAATTTGATTGACTGAGATACCCACTCACTATCAGACAACACACAAACTGCCTTCTTTCAGCTCCAGTACACACCATCGGAACTGAACAGAATTAGAATATTTTGTGAGGCTTCTAAGAGAGAACAGTGCTCTTTAGGAAATCTCTCTATTCACGACTTGATTGAACTTTTTTCACTTTTATTATCTACTTTCACTTTTATTATGCTCCTAGGAATTCTTAAGAGTTTTCTTGGGTTGCAAATATCCTGCAACAATTGAGGCCAAGAGAATAGCTGTACTGAAGATTTAAAAAAAAAAAAAAAATCTAAACAACTGCAGCAACGATCTTCTAAATGCTGAAGTTAGTGCTGCATGAAAATTATGAAAACAGCACTACAAAATGTATCAAATTTATTA